ATTGGGGGTGGGAGGGAGGGGTGGGTGGGTGATGGGTATTGAAGAGGGCGTCTTTTGGGATGAGCACTGGGTGTTGTATGGAAACCAATTTGACAATAAATTTCATATATTAAAAAAAATAAAAAATAATAAAAAATAATATTAAAGATTTAAAAAAAATTGTACCCATAATAAAATAAATGCAAATGAAGTCTAAAAGTTAATGACATTGAATTACTTTTTGGATTGCCAAAGATCTAAAAGATTGAGGTAGTTGGAAAACAAGCACAAGCCCACATGTTGTTGGCAGGAATGCAAGTTAATATAGCCTCTTAGCAATATAATTTAATAATACATTAAGATTTAAAATGTGTGTACATTTATAATCATGGAAATGCAAAGAAAAAATTCAGTGGGATACTATTTTATATCCATTAGAGTGGCAAATATTAAGTCTAACAATACCAATTATAGTAGAGCAGTGGGAACTAATATATGTGCTAAGAGAACTCTAAATTGTTAAAACAGTTCATAAAGGATTTTGGCATTATCTATGTATGTTGAATATGAGCACCTAGCAATTCTATCACCTGGTAATTCTACTTGTAGTATATACATTAGAAACCCTCTTGGACATGGGACACATATAAGAATGTTCAAAGCAAAACTGTTCTACTGACAAAAGCTTAGAAAACAACCGAAATATCCATTAATGAATGAATTCCATGTACGTACACAGTGGAAAATTCTATAGTAGACAAAGTGAACAAACCAGGTTACATGCAACAACATGGTTGAATCTAAGAAACATTATTCTTACCATTCATTGTATATTTATGCTATTTAACTTACATATAAATTGTAATTATGGTAGAAAATAATACAGCGTCAACTGTATAGTAAGTGTTGTTAAATACTTGTGCACCAAAAAAATTTTTTGGAAATATCTAAGATGGAAAGATATGGTGAAAGTTTATATTAATAAAATGAGATGAATAATTTAGTTTTTATATTCATGGGCATCTTTGTTTTCAGATTGGCAGTAGAAGTAGTGTTTATTCCCCAGAAAGCAATGTACGAAAAACAGGCTCATATATATATGAAGAGTTTATGCCCACAGATGGTACTGATGTAAAGGTAGGATTGATTACAGTATATTTTAATTTTGTATTTAGTTTACCGATGGCAACAGAAAAAGAGATTACCCTTTAATTAGTTATATCTATATTCTGGATCTCTTTTTTTTTTGTGACTAGAGATTGTTAATCTGTTTTGTATTATGAATGCCTTTGACAGTCTGAAGGCCATGGACCCTTTTTTTAGAATAATGTTCTTAAATGCTTAAAACAGGATTGCCAAGGAGACAAATTTTATTGAAATACAGTTATAAAAATATTTAATAAACAACTTGGTGATATAATAAAATGTATGCTTCTTTAAAAGGACATTAAATAATAAAGCAGTAAAGGTCTAATAGCCACCAGTTTCTAAGCATTGATTAGCATAAATGATGTTTGAGATCCGCAGCAACCGTAGCATAATGTAAAAATATGTTTGACTTCTTTTGGTGACAGACAAGGTCTTAATTGCTTTACCTTCAGCCAGTCTTGGTCTAAGGTATAAACCTGATCATGAGCCTCTCCTTTAAAATTCTCTTATGGATTTTTGTTGACCAGAGGATAATAATCAGGTTCTTAAGTGTGGCATACAGAATGTTTCAGTCTGTCTTCTATCAACCTTATTTCTTACAGTATAAACTATACTAAATAATTTACTCTTATCTGAATACATCATGCTCTTTAACACCTCTGGCCTCTGTGTTAATTACCTGTGCTTGGAGTGCTGTTCTCTTTCTCATCTGCTTTTCATTCTATGCTGTCCCTCACCACCACCCCCATTTTTTAATCTTCCTTTTGGCCATTACTTTCTTTTATGTTTTTATAATTAACTTGTACCTCTCCTTTGTTAAACTTAAAACAATTTGAAAAAGATCACCTCATATACAACCTAGTATTCCCTCATAATGCTCAGCATATCAATCTCTCCAAAGAACAGAACTTCACTTTACCATTTTTTTGCCATGTTATTGTTTATAACCTTTTCCATTGTATTGAAAATTTTGGCATGTGAAATAGAAAGAGGTGTGAAATGAATAGTCTGGAGACTGAAGTAAAGTTTTATTATTTTTCTTTTAGTTTGTTGTCTGCTGTTTTTTAAAATACATTTTGAATAATATAAAAATTTTTATATATTTTAACTTTAATGAAAGGTTTATACAGTGGGTCCAGATTATGCTCATGCTGAAGCTCGAAAATCTCCAGCCCTCGATGGCAAGGTGGAACGAGATAGTGAGGGAAAAGAAGTTAGATACCCTGTTATTCTGAATGCACGCGAGAAATTAATTGCTTGGAAAGTCTGCCTTGCTTTTAAGGTAAGATGTTTTAAAGGCCATACAGGCCCCTGTCAAAGAAATTCTAATGTCTTTTTTGAGTAAAAGAAATGTTATTTGGGCATTTAGTGGTAGAAGTAAGCTGAGAAAATAAAAATGATACATTTAAATGGTTTATGTACTTTTCAGGGGATTCTTATAGCGCCATTAATAAAAATACATAATAAATGAAGGACTTTGTTTCTCTCTATTTTATCTGTTATATAAAAGGGAATTTTGTCAATTTATTCAGAAATTAAAATGATGGAGGAAAACTTAACTAAAACAGTAGCATTAACCAGTGTTTAGAGGTATTATTTAACATGCTTAAAACAACTGGTTGCAAGTACTATTTACTCAGAATTGATACATGATTGTTTTCTTGAATAAAAAAGGTCTTCAGTAGTCTTCTAGCCTTGGTAATACATCCTTTAGCCTATTTGTTGTATATGATAAAATGTGTTTTTGAAAGCAATACAAATAACATTCCTTAAAGAAAACTTTTTACTGCTAACATTTGACTAGTTCCCTCAGTCTACATCATTAGGTTTCCAGTAATGTATGGTAAAGATTTAAATAGAAGTAGTACAAGTTGCATCTAACAAAGGATAAACTTCACCTTTTTGAAGTCTTGTCTTGAGTTATAATGTAAAGACTAGGATGTGTTACTGGTTATTAAATAATACTTTATGTCTTAATAATTTGAAGTCACTTTTATGGAAGGAATATTATCCTGTAAGTATATTTTAATAGCTTTGTACGAATTATCTTAACTTCGTAATACCAGGATTCTAAAAGACATGACTTAAAATCATATTTATGCTAATGTGTCATGATTTGAATGTAAAATGCAGAAGTTAGAAAATTCTTGGAGCCTTAGTAGGAAATTTATACCTTGCAATGGTTTTCTTCTCCCAAATAAAATGTATTTAATTCATTTCAAGTGCTCACAAGTATATAGTTGTCAAGTTTTAAAAGATTCAGAACGAAGGGCACCTGGTTGGCTCACTTTGTAGAGCCTGCAACTCTTAATCTCAGGGTTGTGAGCTTAAACCCCACAGTGGGTGTAAAGATTACATAAAAATAAAATCTTTCTTTAAAAAAAGATTCATAGGGATAATTGGACATTTCCTCTGGGACATATCTTCAAAACTACTTTTTCTTTATGTTTTCCTTTATGCTTTGGATTAAAGTGATATAATTTCTACTATCACAAAATTTTACAAAGCCTTTAACATTTTTTTTACTCTTTTTAATTAAATATTACTTGAAGAACTTCTTGTTACGGTAGGTTATTTTTTGGCCTCTCTAGTCCCTGAAGCATTTTTGTTCCATATTTACTTCATGGTGTGGAACTAAAACAATCATATAGTATGTTTGACATATTTTCAGAGTACTCAGGTTACAGATGAGTAATTTCATTACTTACTATGAAGTAAACTAAGGTGCAGTAGTACATTTTTAGGCATTTATAAAATTTGATATGTTGTAATAAGACTAGAACATTGTGAATCCTAATTCAAATGTAACTTTAAAGTTTATAATTTATTTTAAATAGCAAACAGTTTGTGGTTTTGATTTGTTACGGGCCAATGGACAGTCCTATGTCTGTGATGTCAATGGCTTCAGTTTTGTGAAAAATTCCATGAAGTATTATGATGATTGTGCAAAAATACTTGGGTAAGAATTTTTTATCTTTTTCTTCTATACCTTTGTTATAGCTAATGCATAGTAGGTATTCAGAAACCAAATAATTGTAAATGCATCAAACGATCAGAATCTTGTAAGCACTCTAGAGTAAAAACAAATGTTCACAAAATGACATCTCCAAAGAACCATGACAAATCTTTAATTATACTTCAGGATATCAAAGGCGGATTAATTTAGGGCCAATATAGATGAAGTTTTAAAGATACTTAACTTCATAGATTCACAAATATATACCGTGATTATTACAGTGATTGTTAGTCAAAACAGCTAATTTGTTAGGTTACTTGTCCCTCAAGATTTTGATACATAATTGAAAAGGTTTAATTCTCTTACTTTAAGGTACAAAATGAATATTCATGAAAGAAGTAACCAGGGTAAAATAGAAATATTTGGAATTCAGGGTTCTTTTGAATGATACTGCTTTCTACAAGCATATGTCAGTTAAAGATAATCCCATGAGATTATTAGTGAATTCAAAAGAAAATATTGCATGTAGAAAGACCATTTTTATATTCTTTGACCTATTTTCTTATACTTTGATTTAGAAGATTCATAAGACAAATATTTTTGAACCATTTCAAAGTATATATGACAGAGCCATAAGAAACTTACATTTTAAAATGTGTTGTCATGGGGCACTTGGGTGGCTCAGTCAGTTGAGCATCTCACTCTTGATTTCAGTTTAGGTCAAGATCCCAGATTGGTGGGATCAAGCCTCATGTGATGCTTAGCTTGGAGTCTCCTTAGGATATTCTCTCTCTCTCTCCCTCGCTCCCTCCCTCCCTCCCTCCCTCCCTCCCTCTCTCTCTCTCTCTCTCCTGCCCCTTTCACCCACTCATGCATGCACTCTCTCTCCCTCACTGTGTCTTTCTCAAATAAATAAATAAATAAATAAATAAATAAATAAATAAATGTATTGTCCTAATTGGAGTCAGCTTTTATAGAATATTTTAAAGATTGGTGAACTTAACCCTTAAGGTGAAATTTAGGGGAGCTTACTAAATTTTAGCATGAATAAGTGCTGAATTTAAGCAAAACAAAAAATGTTTTATAATTACTTAACATGTTTTCTGTTTTTAACCCTATTAGTAAAGTATAATAGAAATTTATTAAAAAAGAGCCACAGTATTTAGAGTAACTTCAAAAGTGATCAATAAACTTGTAAGAAATGATCCGTAGCCATAAAGAAGAGCCAATCTTGGTTTTCAGATTGTATCTATAAGTGCATATGATGCAGCTTTAGTGATTTATTTGAATCCAATGTGACTTATATTTTAAAACTAACGTAAATAATTAATAATTCCAAATTCATGGCATCTCTTTAGGGTGTTCTTATATACCAGTTTAGAACTGCTAATCTAATTTTTCTTTATCAGGATTGAGTCTTTGAGTTAATTTTTGTGTGCTGTAATCACAGAGTCACTAGTTTGACTTTAATTTCATTGATTATATCATTAGTCATTAAGTACTGAGGTTTGCCTTAAAATAAATTAATTCTTAGCTTTTTATTTTTGTATCAAAGCAATATTGTAATGCGAGAGCTTGCTCCACAATTTCATATCCCCTGGTCAATACCCTTAGAAGCTGAAGATATCCCAATTGTACCAACTACATCTGGAACTATGTAAGTTTGAATATTTTCATTTAGAAATTCCTTGGGTTTTGTACATCAGTCTCTGCTATTACAATAAAGATTAAATTTCTAAACGATCATTGGACACTTTACTCTGTATGTTTTCATATAATTCACTTTGCAGATGGAAAAATAGACTATATGCTTTTGCAAGGGTCCACCTAGACTAAAACTCTTTTGTATTGTTAAAAATAAAATCTGAAAGGGGCGCCTGGGTGGCGCAGTCAGTTAAGCGTCCGACTTCAGCCAGGTCACGATCTCGCGGTCCGTGAGTTCGAGCCCCGCGTCGGGCTCTGGGCTGATGGCTCAGAGCCTGGAGCCTGTTTCCGATTCTGTGTCTCCCTCTCTCTCTGCCCCTTCCCCGTTCGTGCTCTGTCTCTCTCTGTCCCAAAAATAAATAAACGTTGAAAAAAAAAAAATTTTAGAAAAAAAAAATAAATAAAATCTGAAAAAAAATTAAATAAAATCCTGAAAAATGCTTGTATAACTATAGAACTATTGAATTAAGTCACAAAAATAAAGGAGGTACCAACAGGTATGTCACTTAAAGTTTCATAGTCAGTGGCTGTACAGCTTTTATTCTCTTATTGTATAAAGAAAAAATATAGAGTTTTATCTTGAGGTAAATTAATTAGATCAGTATTGCGAAAGTGTTTTATAATATTCTAGTGAAAATTACTGCTTGAAACTCATCTGCTACTCAGGTGGGTTGACCAAATGCTTCATATTTACAAGTTAGACATTTACATTAGCATGTTAAATATTCTGCGAAGGGCTGGTTGGGATGGAGAAACACAAATATTTAATTTTGTTTTAAACCAGTATTCTCAAACTATTTAACATAAAAAGTTTTAGGTAACTTATTAAAATCCTGCAGGGTTGTGTTCTGTGGCCTGTAGTTTGTCAAACACTAAATTATACCCTAGCATTCTTTCTAAGACAGTTTTATCTTCTAGTAATTTAAGTTTGAAGTACTTGTTCTTCTTACAAGGGCAAAATAAATATAGCAGCTATCAAGTAAAGCTTTATTTTGCTTTGATTTAATAATAATTAATCTCTGCTACAGACCAAGTATTTTATGAAGTTCCGGGATTGTCATTCGTTTACTTTTATTCCAAAGTTAGCATAGTCATCTCTAGAGAAGAAGCTGATATATAGCTTAATATTACTCCTCCTCCAGCTTCGTAAAATCTTTTTAAGATTGGATTTGATAAAATTGATAAGATTGGATTTGATAAAATTGACTAGTTGTTACAAGTACTATCTCAATAGGAAACTTTTTGAAATGGTATAAGATAGCTCTAAAGAAATGAGATGTTGTGTGAGTCTGAATTATATAACACAGATCTTTGTTAGAAAATTGAGAACTTTTATTTCATTTTAGGATGGAACTCAGATGTGTCATAGCTGTAATACGTCATGGGGATCGAACACCAAAACAAAAAATGAAAATGGAAGTGAGGCATCAAAAGTATGTTTTAAGGGGAATAATTTAACACTTAGGAGATAATTTAAGATTTCTGATAGGTGATTAGCTATTTTGATCAATACATCATACAGGAAAACTGTTTTCCCATTTCTTGGCCATTAATTTGAACCACTGGATGGAGACAAAATCCATTTAAAGTAATTGTATATATTAGCATCTGAAAATTATGATGGCAATATCCGTAAATTATCATCCATCTGACCTAACTTTCGTTTATTGTAAAAGTGTAAACATCCTAAGATGTTAAATTTTGGTTTGTTATTCTCTCACATTGCTTTCTCTGAGTCCTTGAACCTCTCAACCTTGTAGAAAAAACTTGGTAGAATAAAAGTTTGTTATTTCTATTCACTATTTGATTTGGAAATAATAAAAATTTAAAACTTGAGCCAATAAATATGTGTTGAAACATTTTTTATATGTATATGTATGCAGTGATTTCAGAGAACATAATATGCAGTTTTACAATCATATATTCAGTTTCCATCATGAGAAAACTTTTAAAAATAATCTATAGTGATTATTAGCTTGCCGTGGTTAGGAGAATACCAAGTTTTGTCACTGACAGTAGATGAGCAACCTTGTATAGTGAAAGAGGACATACAGTATTTGAAATCCATAGACCAAGTCCCATGTCTTCATTAATTGATTTATGTTAAGTATATGGTGGTAATAGTAATTATTGCAAAGGACTAACTGTGCTCTTTTGTTTTAATAAGATTTTTCGATCTTTTTGAAAAGTGTGATGGATATAAATCTGGGAAATTAAAACTCAAAAAGCCAAAACAATTACAGGCAAGTGCATTTGACTGCTTGTTGGTTATAAATTGCTAATGGCAAAGTAACATAAAAATTCAGTTCTTTATTATTTTATAGGAAGTGCTGGACATTGCCCGACAACTTCTTATGGAGCTGGGGCAAAATAATGATTCTGAAATTGAAGAAAACAAGTCAAAACTTGAACAACTTAAGACCGTATTAGAAATGTGAGAATATTTTTGAAACCCTTAATTTTGATAACTAAATTTGATAACAGTGTTCTTTTATAATGTATGACTTTCTATGTTAAGTTGCCTTCACAGTTTGATCGTTTTCCACTTTAGTGCTGAAGCTGAAGAGAAATTAGCGAAAGTTTAGTGAGACTTTTATTTGCACCAGTGAGAAAATAGATTGTTGTGTTGAAGTTTCTTGTTTTAGTTTTACTTTTAATTTTGATGAGAAACATTTGGATCTTTTATGAAGTACCACTTAGGATGAAAGCAACATGGCTAACTTGAGCACAGATTAAATGTTGTTTAAGTAAAAAACAATTTTGAACTATGCTTTAGTCAAGTGAAATTGATAACACCAGTATTACTATTGGAAGCTTTACATTTGGCCACCTAGAATCTTATTTCCTTAATTTTTTAAATGCCCATACATTTCTGTTTTATATATTTCTATACTTTGTCATCTCTTCAAATGTCTAACTTTTGTAGAGAAACTTTTTTGTGTTTTCCTTTCTAATGTGATTAGAATGACTACCTATGGTACAGACATTCTGCTAAGAGTATTTTAAAGAATTCAACAATTAATTAAAAATAGAGGAGGGCATTAATATGTAGATTTAATTTTCTCTAGATGGATTTTAGTTTCTCTTTAAGAGGTTTCATTGAACACTTACTGAAAATTGTTCATTCCACTTGCCATTTTGTTTTTCAGGTATGGCCATTTTTCTGGAATAAATCGTAAAGTCCAACTAACTTATCTCCCTCATGGTTGTCCTAAAACATCTAGTGAAGAGGAAGGTATATCACTATTAATGCCTATTGTGTTTTAATTATATGTAGAGACTTATTACTCATTGTACTGCCTTTGGACCCTCTCCTTTGTAACAGTTAAGGAGCTGACATGCTGAATAAAGGAAAATTAAAGTGGAGTTTTGTCAACTTTGCTTTCTATCCTTTAAATAGAGGATAGATTGGGCCTCCTGGGTGGCTCAGTTAAGCGTCTGATTTAGGCTCAGGTCATGATCTCACGTGTTGTGAGTTCGAGCCCTGCATCAGGCTCTGTGCTGACAGCTCAGAGCTTGGAGCCACTTCAGATACCTGTGTCTCCCTGTCTCTGTCTGCCCCTCCCCTGCTCACATGCTGTCTCTCTCTCTCTCAAAAATAAATAAAAACATTAAAAAAAATTTTTTTTAATAATAAATAAATAAAGGATAGTTTACCCTTTAAGGAAAGGATCTATTTTATTTTAAAAAC